AAATAACAGCACGGGTATAACACACACACACACACACACACACACACACACACACACACACTCAATCACACACAGCATCTTATAAAAACATTTCAGGAGGACAAAGCATTGAACAGAGCACACTTTCATCAGTATTGACTTCTGTTTTGAATACACTTGAACCTAGAGGTCAGTGTTACTTGATACATAGACAGATAGATAGACAGACAGAGACAGACAGATATAGATGATAGATAAAGTAAAAGAAAGAGGAAGTGACAGATAGAGAGGGAGGTAGGGCTGTAGGGACCGGGATTTTCTCCAGGCTCACAGTAGGGAGTGACAGGAGATGATTCGGGGAGGTGAGGATCAGAGGGATCAGTTAAACTTTAAACATGTCTCTACAGCACTCCACCTCATTAATTCAGAAGGCACAGCAGACGAGCACAACACTTCACAGATTATAGTAATTCAAACCTGCATGATGCACTAACAACGATTGCTTTGCATTGCACTGTTGCACAAATAGATTTTCAGCTTTGATTATCCCAATTGTCCCAGTTGTTATATATTAGATATTAAATGCAGTAAAAACTGCATTAAGACTTTATACAACTGTGACAGCTGCATCAATGAGATGGTTTCTAGGGTATATATATATATACAGTATATATATAGGTTCAAAAATTCATTATTTTTGTCTTGCTACATTTAAGAATGTCTGATATGTCAAATCTTCATCAGATAATGACAGATCTTCCTGAAAAAAGTTTATATTTGATAAATATAGGAATTTCATTATTTTCTTTACTTTTTTTTTTTTAATGATTAAAAAAATATATTGCAAGGAATTTGTAAACCTATGAGCCAAACTATATATGACACCACTAAGAGACTTTTTAAACAGTTGTTATGATTTATATGAAATAACATTCTTTTTTTCCTGATAAAAACTTAAAAATATGCTGTTTTATGGTGTTTAATATGATAAACTCCACGTTTGCTTAAGTCATTCACTCTTCTTCTATTTTAATCTTAATTTTTCTGGCGTGAACCACATTGAAATTCTCTGCTATATTTTTATATTCAATTCTTTTGACATTAAATATTCCCTTTTATTTTATTCTATAAAACGATAAATAACACTTTGCATTGTTACACAAATATAAATTCTGCTTGTTGATTATCCTAATTGTGACGTTAACTTATATTTTAGATATTAACCCGAAAAACGCACCTCTACAAGACGGATACAGTGTCATGTAAGTGATATTAGCTCGGTTAATGGTTTGTTGAGAGGTTACGGTCCCGTTTGGGGAACATTTTCAGCACCATGGACAAGGACTTCCAGCGGACCCCCATAAAGATGCATCACTGATGCTTTATTCTTATAATAACGCTATCTGCTGTTTAATATAACATACAATATGACGTTTTCTACTCTAAAAATAAATGTTGTCGTGGAGATGCTTCCCTGAAGTTTCCATATTAACATGGCTGCGTCTGTCGTCAGCGTACTGGAGTTCGTCTACATAAGCGCGGTGTTTGTGAAGTTTTATGTCCCGTGCAGAGCATATTACAACAGGCTTTCATTAAACAAACGACATCTGTTAAACATGCAGGATAAAACAGCTGCGAGCTACTACATCAAATAAAACACAAGCGAAACTCAAAAAAGCAAAGACAAAACGTAAAAGCGATTTACTCACAGCAAAGGCCCGGTGCAGCTCCAGCAGGAACGACCCGAAGAAACTAACACAATATCCGTTCACGGAGAGTTTAAATATAACATCCACTCAATATAAGCGCGATGTTGCTTTGATTGTGCAAATCTGTGCATCACATTTGCGGACTGCTTTGTGGCTTTTAGAGAAGGCTCTGTATTGCTTTGCTTTAGATCATCACAGGCTACATAGAGAAACATTATCTACATAGCGCTCATCCTTCCTCCTTCCTTCCTCTCCCTCCTCAATCTCACTTACTTGTGACGTCACGGGGGAACGCAGCCTACGTCATTTTATCCTTGCATCACGAGTCAGCTTCTGTGCCAAGTGTACAAGATAATTATTTATTTTTCCTCTTTATATATTCTATTTTGTATTTTTCCCTCGTATTTTTTTATTTTGCTTTTTTTTTTTTAGAATTATTGTGTTAATGTTATTGTGTTGTATATATGTAATTAAATAAATAATATATAATAAAAGTTTAATAATCAAAATCTTAAGTGTCGATTTTATCCACACCTGTTTGCTATAAAGCACAATTTTTTTCCTGTAGAGAACAATTTTATTCTTAGTCACATTTGCCCTCTATTTGAATATACAATATAATAGTATTTATTTATAGAACACCTTTAAAATACATTGTTTACATAGTGCTTTGCAGAGTAAATATGCATGTGCAAACACATATGCACATAGTTAGATGTATACATTTTATATTAGTTTTCCCTTCCTCCAGTTTTGTTTTCTCTTCCTCTAAGCTATTCATTATGGGCATAGTCGTCTATTTATACTTTGCTCTTTAATAATTGAGACGAGATTAATCCTTTCAAAGAGTCTATTTTCAAGCCAATGCTCACTGTAAAAAAAAAAAACTTAATTAAGCAAATGTCTTGACTGAACTTGAAATGTCAAATTTGCCATCACTATAACAAATAATTAACTTTAATAATCCAAAAAGGAAAAAGGCTACAATCAGATTGGACACAGACCAGGGCAAGGAAGAAAATTTTGCAACCGTACCATGTGAAATATTTTTGTCTCATTCTTTTTCATAATCTAAATAGCTCCGGAGTCAGGAAGGTAGCAGATGCTGTGCAAAATCTGACGGGATGGTACAAGTTGCCAGGGAAAGAGAGGATTTCAGTCAGAGCTTAACTTTCATATCAGAGGAGAGAGTGCTCTGCCCTTGCAGATCTAAGCCTGTTTTCTGTTTTGCAGTTTATTAATATCAGGAGCGACATTTGCTGATGCTGACAGATACATTCTGAATCTAATTTACAACACCTAGATAACACAGAGGTACAGGTCAGTGACTTTGCCCTGGTCATTTGATTTTTTTCTGTTTTTAATAAATAAATAATTTACATGTGATCTTATGTGCTTATTTGAAAAATATTGTTAAACATGTTACCCTGGCCTATACTGTATGTTTAGAGCAGGGGTCCCCAAACTACGGCCCGCGGGCCGAATGCAGCCCACCCCCACATTTGGACAGGCCCTCTGAACAATGCCAGAGACATATTTTGACATTTTAATTTTAAATATACGGTTTCACTTATATCATGTCTATATTTGATAATAAATATTGGCTTTCAGACTAAAATTTCCCTTAGTTATTAACGTAGCCTAATTATTTGTTAAATTCACCTACCAACAGAATGGTACGTTCAATATAACGTACCATCGCGATCGAACAGGTGACGCGCGAACAAGCGAAAAAATTAAAAGAGACGACAAAATGGCCAAGCGGTTGGGAAAGAGAAAGGTTGATTCAGAATGCAGGGTATTTAACCAAAAGTGGACAAGTGATTATTTTTTTGTTCAGTGCAAAGAAGTGGCTGTTTGTCTCATCTGTCAAGAAACAGTGTCTGTGTTCAAAGAATACAATCTGCGCCGACACTGAAACCCGCCTCAGAGAAAAGTATGCTAGCTTGCAAGGCCAAATGAGAGCAGACAAAGTGTCGAAGCTAAAAAGTGTACTATCAGCTCAGCAGAATACATTTGTACGCCAAACCCAGCTGAACCAGTCATCCGTTCGAGCTAGCTTTCAGGTAGCTAAACTGATTGCAACCAGCGGTAGGCCATTCAGTGGTGGCGAGTTCGTCAAGAAATTTATGAATGCTGTTGCGGAGGAGGTGTGCTCCGATAAGAAAGATGTCTTAAATGCGGTGAGTCTGTCCGCAAGTACAGTCACCAGACGAATTGAAGAAATGGGGGATAATGTATATGCCCAGCTGCAGGAGAAAGTGAAAGAATTAGATTTTTTTGCATTAGCACTGGATAAGAGCAATGACGTACAGGACACAGCACAGCTGCTAATTTTTCTTCGCTGAGTTAGCTCAAACTTTGAAGTGTCAGAGGAGCTAGCAGCCCTACAAAGTCTAAAAGGCACTACGACAGGGGAGGATATTTTTGGTAAAGTGTGCCAAACGATGGGAGAGCTGGGTCTAGACTGGTCTAAGCTGGCCAGCATCACTACTGACGGGGCTCCTAGTATGGTTGGCGCGTCGAGGGGGCTTATAGGACGCATGAATAAAAAAATGGAGGAAAGAGGTCTAACCCCACCATTACAAGTCCACTGCCTGATTCACCAGCAAGCACTCTGCTGCAAAGTTCTGAAGTGGGAATCAGTCATGAAGGTGGTGGTGTCATGCATAAACTTCATCAGAGCAAACGGACTTAAACACCGGCAGTTCCAAGCCTTTCTCGCCGAGCTAGAGTCTGCTCACGGAGATGTGCTTTACCACACTGAAGTCCGATGGTTAAGCC